ATCATGCATCATCGTCATCATACATCATATCCATGTTATAATATCATTATGTTGTCATGTCATCTTGTCATCATATCATCATCATCATCATCATCATATCATCATATAACATTCTCACATCATCATAATCTAAATGACATAGGCAAGGGCTATTGGGCACGTGTCTTGCACGTGTCGTCATACATAAGGTAAGTCTTCTGACCGAGCCAATAGTAAGGTCATTTACTTGGTTGACCTTAATAGACGTTCTCCCTAAATTTAAATGTTTGAGTTCGTCCTTCGAGATTGTTCCAACAATTGTTGGCCCTATGAGAAAAATCATGTGATTTTCCTTAGAACTCTAGTTTTCTAACTTAATTTAATCTTGAATTGAGAAATTATACCTTATATTGGCCTCAATTGCCTTAATTAAGGTTGAATTCAGCATCGGGAGAGTAAAAAACTTAAGGAACGATGTCCTCAACGTCAAACCCGAGCCGATTAAGTCATTTTTAAGTTGAGAAGCTATACAAAGCCAAGCCGAGCCGAAGGAGTCAGCGACCACACACTATAAAACGTGGTAGAAGGGGGAGCTAATGCACGTACAAGTTGCGAGTTGGGGTGAGCCGCGGGTCTCAAGTAAGCTTACGGGTGTGCGAGTCGATCGTGGATTGCGTGTGCATATTTGGGCCGAGTCTATTAGGCTAAGTGTAAGGTGGGTTACTCCAATGTGGTTGTTAGTCGTACAAGGATGTCTGTACAAGGATGTCTTGCCATTACTTAAACTAGAAGTAGCACGTGACTTGAGTATTTTAAGAAATACTTACCCCACTATTAGGGTTAAATGCAAACACATAGAATCATGAATACAAACACTAACGGACCTGTATCAGAGAATCAAAAGGGTCGGGTGCTCAATAGTAGAAGGGGCAAGTTGTAGCCCATGCAACCACAGCAAGGCAAGTCGACGCGTCTGACGCAGTTGTGACAGGTACACTACCCGTCTTTGGTCATTTGGCTTTAGTATTATTTGATTCGGGTTCTACGCACTCGTTTGTATCTGAGGAATTCGTTGACTTAGCGCACCTAAAAAAGGAATAAGTACCTCCTCCCGAGAATCGACGACTTGTTTGATCAACTATAAGGAGCAATGGTTTTCTAGAATTTTATGAAACTTCACGTGTTTGCATTTAACCCCAATAGTGGAGTCACTTACCGAGTATTTCCTAAAATATTCAAACCACATGCTAAGAAGTAGCAAGGCATCCATGTAACAACTAGACATCGCAATTCAAGACCATGACACATGTATAAGATATATGCATTTATTTTCCTAAACTTACCCTAGAATATGAGGTTTTTAATTTAAATGTTTATTTATTTTTATTTAGTCCTTTATCCTGTCGTTTTAAAGATGTTTTCGAACACTTAGGTCCATGGTAGTGTTTTAAGACGAAGTTTATGTTTTATGATAAATTTTTAAATGTTTAACTTTACATATGAGTATAGACGATGATGACAGGCATGACTCTATGTAAGTAGAAATTTAGAATCGGTGCATATCTATTGTCTTGTCATTAGCTCACACATGAAATTACTATGATTTTTGTGTATTCTCCAACCCCATTTCAAAAATATTAATTTCATATTTACATAACAATACAATAATTTGCATATAACTATGCAGATCAATAATATTTAACGCTCGAAAAACAATTAAAAATAGGGATTAACCAACCAAAGAGTTTCTTAACTTGAAATATGATTTTATGTTTAATGAAATGAAAATTTCGAGCTTAGCTTCTCGACGTTGGGTTCATGTCGATTTAATTTTTGGACTTTCAATTTTATAATCTTAAAAGTTCAGAGACAAAACTTTCTAATTTGAGGGACTAAATCGATAAAACAAAAAAAAAAGTTAAATGGGTTTTAAATCCGTGAGTACATAACACTATCTCATAGGAGAGACTGGACGGGAGAGACTGGACGGCACCCTACAATGTTAGAGATAGATCTTAAATCATGATTGCGCATGTGTTTGCATTGGTATGGCCCCTGTAGTGGGGCCACTTACCAAGTATTTTTCAAAATATTCAGGCCGTGTGGCATATCAATTTTCAAGTAAAGAAAAAGCGCACTTGTACAAATGACGGTGGCATCACAAGTAGAGCCTATGACACTGTTTTAAATTATTTTGTATTTGTTTTTATTTCTCTGAATTTCAATACTATTTCGTATTTAAACACGTAAGATCATGGCCGTGTTTTCTAGAGAAAAAGTTGTTTTAACCGTTTTTCAACATTATGGGCCAACAATTATAAGAGTTATATGACGTTAGTAGCAACTCTGAGTACGTGCGTTACAATGTCTGAAAAGGAATGATAGCGTGACCTAATGATTTAAAGGATGAATTGCATAGGGACCATTAAGCAACACCTTCACATGGTGTATCAAAAGAAAAGCATGACATTGACTTAATCTATTAACTTCATGGAAAAATACAAACAACTTTCACTTTCTCATATGTGACTGCCAACCTAATTCCCCATTCCCCTTTACAATCAATCAAATCCTAAATTTCTCAATTTTTCAATATCTATCAATGCATGTCAATCTTTCATTACCCATTTCACCTATAACTTTATAGTAAATAATTAAAAATGTTTCTTATTTATTCAAATTAAAAATCATTTTAAAGTAAATTCATCATATACATTTATAATTGTCTTCATTCTTCTTAATTATCGTAATATAATAGGTTATACATTAAGGGTTTGGTTAAGAAATTAATGTATATTTAGATTCCACAAATAATTTTAAAAAGAAAAATAAATAAATATATTTTTGAAGCAACTCTACAACCATCAAACTCCAAAACTAACAGATATTATCTGTTTTTTTGCTCGTTACGTATCGTCGTGTCAAAGTCTACCGCTAATAGATATTGTCTGTTTTGGTCTGTTACGTGTCGCTGTCAGCTTCACAGTTTTAAAACGTATTTGTTAGGGAGAGGTTTCCACACTCTTATAAGAAATGCTTCATTTCCTTCTCCAACCAATGTGGGATCTCACAATTCATCTCCTTGGGGCCAGTGTCCTTAGTGGCACACCGCTCGGTGTCTGGCTCTGATACCATTTGTAACAGCCTAAGTCCACCATTAGTAAATATTATCCGCTTTAACCCTTTATGTGTCGCCATCAGCCTCAGTTTTAAAACGTGTCTGTTAGGGAGAGATTTTCACACTTTTATAAGAATATTTAGTTCCACTCTCCAGCCAATATGGGATCTCACTGCTCGATGTTTGGCTTTGATATCATTTGTAATAACCTAAGTACACCACTGACAGATATTGTCTGCTTTTGCTCACGATTTTAAAATGCATTTGTTAGTGAGAGGTTTCTACACTTATCCTCTGAACCAATATGAGATCTCAGTCATAAAATTTAGGGTAGGATAAATAAAAAAAAATTTGTAGTTGTATTGAAAATTTTGAATTTGGACAAATTTATATAATAATTAAATGTTGATTTGATTGAAATTAGTGAGTTGAGGGAGGTAAACTAAAAAAGAGTTGAGTATCAATATTGATACGATGATAGCAAAAAAGGAAAGCAAATGAAAGGTAGGTGGTACATACCAGTTGAAGTTGATATTACAAATAAAAACAGGTATATCTTGAACAATGGACTACGTTCTTCTCACTTCTCTGATCATCTCTCTGTAAATAAATCTATATATAATAGACTGTACACTAAAACTCAGATTGGTTCTCAGGTCTGGAACCCAATATCGTTGTGTTTTCTGGAGGGGGTTGAGGAAGGGATTGGAATGAATCTTTTGGGGAAATGGGGTTTTGTTATTGTTGGAGGGCTGTTGTATTTGGAGAAGTTTGAGAAAGAAGCTCTTGAGGCGTTGCAATAATGGGGGAAACAAACCACAAATATGAACAACCACATACACAGAAGCAGAAGAGAGAGATTTGCAGGCTTTCCCAAATGAATCACAACCATTTTGGGTTTTTTGGTGAAGTTTTATTGTTTGGGGATGTGCAAAAGAGAGAGTTTTGAAGCGAGAGAGAGAGATGACAATCTGTCTAACTGATTGATAGAGGAAAAGAGGAAATGAACACGACTCTTTACAATAGTATGATATTGTCCACTTTGAGCATAAGCTCTCGTGACTCTACTTTGGGCTTTACCAAAAGACCTCGTAATGATGGAGAGAGTATTTCTTGATTATAAATTAGTCGACGTGGGACTTTCATCATCCAATAAATAGAACACATAGAGGACGAAGGAGAAGACGAATAGTCGCTTTTGTGTGTTTTGGATGAATGCAAATGGGAGAGCACATTACAACCAATGGTACCAATGTAGATCAGATCTGTGTACACAAAGGGTAAGTCACCCGTCCTTCATATTGTTGGATGATGAAAGTCCCACATCGGCTAATTTAGGGAATGATCATGGGTTTATAAGTGAGGAATACTAACTCCATTGGTATGAGACCTTTTGGGAAGCCCAAAGCAAAGCCATGAGAGCTTATGTTCAAAGTGGACAGTATCATATCATTGTGGAGAGTCGTGTTCGTCTAACACATATGATTCGTCACAAACTGCAAGCATAGTCCAGTGGTGTAAACCACGTGCAGCCCAGTAACCCATTCGGCCCAGTTGTAAATCACGAAGCACCTGTCAGCATCTGACAGGTGCCCAGAAATGCAACCTGCATAAACAGATGATTCGACCCGACCTGACTAATTTGACGAACAAATTCACAAACTAAACTCAATAAAATGAAAATTTGACCACATATGCATTTCAATAGTATAATCATCCTTATATGTTTGATATAAAAATGTTTTTTTTTTTTTTTTTATAAGGAAATCAAATAGATATAGTAATTTTTCGAATTTTTAAAAAATTAGATTGAACATATGGGTTTCCTTTTGAGAAAACCAACCACTTTGGGTTCAATTCGGTTTTTTATTTAAAAACCGGCCCAACCCGAGCCCAAGGATATGCACTTCAAAAAGTTAACCCCTTGCCTCCGTTTTCGTTGTCCTCTCTCCCCTTTCTGCATCTTTGATTCTTCGCCAGCAGCAGTCCTCGCCGTCGCAGCTTCTCGTTTTCAGCCTCGCCGTTGTCGGCAGCAGAAGCCTCGTCGGTCGTCTTGTAGCAGCAGCGCTGTAGGTCTCAGCCTTTCAAGTTCTATGATGGACTTTCTTTCGATTTAGCTTTTCGCTTTCTTATAATCTCAACTCATTGTAAGCTTAGATTCTTTTTCTTTCCACTTCACGGCTATGATTTCAATAACCTTACATTTTAATTTTGTTTTGTCAAGAAATCCAGAAAGGTCATGGCTATGAGATCCGCGGCCTCAGTCGCTCTTCGGGGCCTCAGGAGCTTCTCTTCCAAAAGTTCGAATTCAGTTTCGACTCGGGCTTCCATCAATCAGGACCCCTCCACCGACTTCGTTTCTGGTAAGTCCTTCTCTTACTTCTCCTTTATGTGATCTTCATTTCTACGACTTTCTTTGCATTTACTTCCTTCTATTTTACATTCCATTTACTTACGTGATCTTCATTTCTACGATTTTTTTTGTATTTACTTCGTCCTTTTTTTGCATTCCATGTACTTTCATCATCTTTTGATTTTGAGTTCATAGGTTTCCTCGTGGTTGGAATGTTTGTCTGCTCACTCTGGCTACTATGAAACCTTTTCTTATTTAATTGCTTCATTTTATAATCTGGAACGCAGATACTAAATGTCCACTTTCAGTTTTGTTACTTTCTTCATTTGTTATATCCTAAGTACTGAATCTGTGGTGTAATCCAAAATGTTGCTATGTTCACATTTTCTCTTTCCTTGTGCATTTAGTAATTTTCATAGTTATATCTGTATTCAAAGGGGTTTCTTGATTGATTGATTGATTGTTCGTTTGGTTTCTCGTCAACGAATAGTTCCATCTTGAAAACACTGGCATATTCTTGAGTTAAACCTCAATGGTTTTGTTTTAATAAGAAACCAAGCTTTCGTTGAGAAATATGAAAGAGACATACAAAAGCAAGCCCACCAAAATATGCTTCAATTCTAATTGCATTAAAGGATCCAAATCTAAAAAGATGAGACCATGGTGGTAGTTACAGAATGCCGGATTAACGGACGCCTGTAACCAAGAATTAAATCTACCAACATGGCAATTGAATACTTTCGTTTTGTTGTTTGGATTCAATTGTTTTTTTCATTGGAAAAGATGGTAAGCTTTTGATTGTTATGTATACTAGGAAAGGGCTTCTAGAATGTTACGTGTGCTGGGGAAGTCTCAGGCCTAGGATGGTAGCTTGGCTATAAAGAGAAAAAGATAACTGTGATTTGGAGTATTTTTTTGTTTAACTTTTGTGTTTCTCTTCAAGAAACAGAACATATTCACTGATAAAATGTAAATTTGTAAAGAAAGTTGTACAACGTCCTCAAAGGAAGCAAATTATAAACCAACCTACAGTTCCACTTGCTAGAAAAACTCAAAGCCCATCCCACAGACCTATTGAGTTCAATTCAAACCAAATATACCATGAATTTCCGACAACTCACAAAGCATCACACAAAGCTCAACTAGCATACTCTTTGGCACACTAGAAGGAACAAAATTGCAAGAGCTAATTGACAATCTATCTCCCCTACACCAATGAATAATAACAACCTTCAATTTTCACAGCAACATCTTCTAACCGAAGAGCAGCAAAAATTGAAAAGGCCAAAGCCATTGCAAACGACAATAGAACTTCATCCTTAAAAGATAAGGATCGGCGTGATTCAAAGCCAAACAGCGTCATTGTCTGGCTGAAACCTACTTCATCAAAGCACATCCAAAACCTTTCTGCAATTGCTTTCTTTTTATTTGATAAGAGTTAAGACTTGTAATGAAAATTTGGAAGAAAACAACCTAGTGGCAGGGGTAGAGGGAACCCTTGCCCATGGAGCTACAAATTTTTTGATAAGAAACAAGACTTATGATGAAAAATTGGAACAAACAGCCTAGGGGCAGGGGTAGAGGGAACCCTTGCCATAGGAACTAAAAAGAAGGGCCTTCCAATCGTTAATAATAACTTTTCAGTTGCTCATTTTGATTCTTTTTGCACCAGTGTTAATGACACCTTCTCGAGGTGGTGCTCAAACCATTGGAATTATTTACATGTTTCTACACTTGATATACAATAGGCAGCCTTTTCTATTTTCATTATTCATCCATTCAATTATCAGTTTTTTACATCTTGGTGTACGCTTAGAATCTCTTTTATAACTTTTCCTTTTCTATTTTTCTGGCTAACTGGGGAGCTTTTCTGTAATCTCCTTTAGCTTTGGGATCTGGTTCTTTCCCCACTTTTGTATATTTCATTTTTTGATTAAATGTCATGTTTAGACAGCATTAACTTGAGAACTAAGATCAGGTATATTTCCTTTAGTAAAAAATGACTAAGATCCTCTTCTTATCATGACAGTCTTGACCTGAAGCCGAAGACAATCACCAACTTCAAAATCACCAGTCGAAAATCAACCTAGCTTCCCTACCGTGCATCCTCAAAATTTTTTAATTGCAATACCCTCCTTCTCTTAGAACCTCAAAAAAGCGCACCTTAATGCCAAACCTTCACCGTCTTCTCGGAAAAGTGAGCATGGATACATATCTTCACAAATCATCTTGATAATACACTCCGAGACCAGAATGCTTAGCCTTTAAAATCTCAACCTTGCTCCTCTTCTTCCTTTTTTTATTTATTTATTTTTTATTTTATTTATTTTCATCTAAACCAAACTCTTTCGTGCCAACTAACTGAACCAACTGAATAGATTCAAATAATTCAGAATATGAAACTTGAGTCTAGGCGTCTATCTCTCTCTCTCTCTCTCTCTCTCCCTCTTTTTTTTTTCTTACCATCTTTCCTTCCTCTTCTCTCTTTTCTCTCCCTTTTTTTTTTTTTTTTCCCTTCTTTATAACATGATCCTTCAGTCATCTCCTCGGGCCTTAGCCACCTAACCTTCTACATAAGAAATTTCATGAGTAAAAAACCTATAAAATGGACAGCTTACTTTGTTGAACTCTTCCATTGATCAAAGCTAGGCACTTAAGCGAGACTCTTCACCCTTTCCTTATGTTGGTCTCTGTTTTTGTATCATCTTTTGTCCAAAACCGTGTATTGTAGAAAATAATTATAACGATAATAGTAAATGTAGATGAGGATATACATGAAAGGATTTATAGCCAAATTTTTTCATGATTTTAAAAGTGTTACTAAGCACACATCACCCTCGAGCACGAGAATTGTGCTTCGCTTCTTTCTTTGAGGTTCCTGCTTGGTGTTCAAGCCNAATGGGTCTCCAAAAAAAAAAAAAAAAAAAAAAAAAAAAAAAAAAAAAAAAAAAAAAGAAAAAAAAGGTGGTACTTGTTTTATTTAACAAAGTTGTCATGATCCAATTTTTGAGTTGTCTGAAGCACATATCGTGATGTGGGCTGACTTGATAGAGTGAAAATATAGTAAATATTTTTGCTTTTAAGACTCGGGAGATTTAAAAACATAAAACTGATACAAAACTCATAAAATAGAGTTGGAGTATAAAAACATAGAAAGGGAATAAAGGACAAAATATAACTGGGACAAAACTGATACAAAACAGTGGAGGCTCTCGAGCCATGGTTTGGCTCTCTATGACACTTGTTGATATGAACCACGACCAAGGAATTTCCATACTTCAAGGTCCAATTACAAGGACGAGAGCCAAGAAACTACAACAAACCTTGTACGCTTATATTCAAGCTATGGTGAGCTCATCAAAGGAAATTTTAGAAGACTGGAGACCTTCTTTATATGTTGTATAAAGTTGAGCTTCAAAAAAGAGATACATTAAATGCACTTTAAGTTGCATTTAATGAACTCAGCTAAATTTATGGAACTAGTCCAAGGACTAATAAGCACATTTCATTCATTGCACTATTTAATTATAATTTAAATATTTGTTTGTCATATTTAAGCTAGTTTTTAATATAGGAGTTAAGGTTACACCCACTTAGGTTACAATATTCCACCCTTAACTAGCCATTTTAATATGGAGGTTATGAGTATTTCTCATTTACTAGCCAATTTAATTGGGGAATTATGTGTCACATAAGTTAAGGTTGTAAAGACTATATAAAGTCTTCTTTTCATTAATTCCAAAATGTGATGTCCCAAACGGGCTAAAACTTACTCATTTTTTAATTCCTCTATATACTCCTTTATTATTAGCTCCAACGGCTTCAAGGTCTTCTACAAAAATCCCCCTTAAGCTCCCAGAAACTAAACGAAATAGGTATTAGGATACGAATTTGTATATATGGCCTCATTGATTTTCCAATCTCCCCCCTAATATGGCTTCCAAGAACTCGAATTGGGGAAATGGACTCCAGCCACTTTCAGCCCTCAAGCCCTTCAACAAACTTGTTGGAAATGTTCTTATGAATGTGTAGAGATTAGTTTGAGCTTCAACAAACAATTTGGTGCTCTGTTCTGTTTTCTTTTTGTAGTTACGACTTCGTACACATCTGGACCAATTTTGCCTTCTTTTCGTGTAACCGTTTGGTCCGCTGGGGATTCCTCATCTCCCTCTCTTTTGTATCTTCTTTCCATCAATACATGGTTTCTAATAGAATTCTTCTTCTAGTGTCGTTGTGTTAAGATTACTTTTACATCATTTTTCAGATCTAGCTGGGATGTATGGTCGTACATTACGTGAGCGAATGTCGAACTACATGGCTACTATCGACATCAATTCACAAATTGGAAGCTGCATGCCACTTTCTGCAATGCGCATCGGTACAATTATCCACAACCTTGAGATAAATCCAGGTCAAGGTGGGAAGCTCGTCCGATCAGCAGGAACATGTGCAAAGATATTGAAAGAGCCAACGTCAAGATACTGCTTGGTGAGACTCCCTTCCGGTACAGAGAAGTTGATCGACTCAAGGTGCAGGGCTACCATCGGTCAGGTGTCTAACCCAAGCCATGGAACCCGGAAACTGAGAAAAGCAGGACAAAGCCGGTGGTTGGGTCGACGTCCAGTGGTTCGAGGAGTGGCGATGAACCCAGTTGATCATCCTCATGGAGGAGGTGAGGGTAGGAGCAAGAGTAGTGGGAGCTTTGGAAAGGGGTCTCGCACACCCTGGGGAAAGCCAACCAAGTCAGGCTACAAGACTGGAACTCTCAAGCGCAAAAAGTAGAACGAGCAACTCCTCATCTTATGTTTTTTCTCACCTTTTAATCAATTTTTGTTGAGGATAGTATGAAATTTGAACTGTTTAGCCTTTTGATTGAATTGAAATCGATGTCGAAATTTACCCTTTTCTTTGCTAAATGATGAGAGGGGGACATAAGAAACGTTGAATGTATAAACAATTAAGGCTTCGATTAGATGTTCGAACATTCTATGAACAATTACGTAACGTAATTGTTCGTACATTTAGTAATGTAACTAATGTAACTATTAATGGTTGAAGTAACATAATTATTTGAATTATGAATTATGCTCAAATTTAGACCATCCAACAATACATCAAAATAAAATCTTTTATATAATAAAAAAGAAATCTCTCAAATTTACAAATCCCACGTATCATATAACAATCCCCTTCCAACTTCTCTAATCTTTAATTAATTAATTAAGTAATTAAAGTTAACAGTGTTAAAATGCATTTTGATTTCAATTCAAAATGGCATAATGTAAGAACTGTTAGTATCATAAAACGAGAGGGTGAAGGACTTGGAATTAACCTTCAAGATCTTTAGCAGATCTTTCCCCATTTGCCTCACCGGCGCCGGGCACTCGCTCTGCAGCACCAGCAGTATCTTCTCCACCCCTTTTGCCTCCGCCACCGCCACCAAAGCCCTCTCCTCCCGGAACAAATAGCATATGCACCACAGCGCCGTCACCGCCTGCTCCGTCGCCGCACTCGACACCTTCATCACTTTCCTCACCATTCCACCCACGCATTCGCCTCCGTTTTCGCACATTTCCGACCGCCCTTCCTCCACCGCTGCCGCTGCCGCCAACAGCCTCATAACCTTCTCCGTTACTCCCACGGCGGCGTTCCTCTGCAACAGCAGCCTCGTTAGGGCTTTTATTACCCCTAACTGAACCAGTCTGATTTTCACGCGTCTCGGCATTGATATTGCGATTAAGCACGATAGCACCGATTCGATTAGCTTCATATCTTTGTCTACTCCGATTAATGCTATCAGTTCGCATAGAATCCCTTCGTTCTCGGCAATTAGGGTCTTCGATTCGGCGTTAATGGCGACGCACTCCAGAATCCTCGCCGTTCCAATTCGCGATTCCGTACTCCCTCGCTGCAGAACAAGAGCCAGAGATCTCAGACAATTGCGATTGCTTTTCAGCATCGAGGTCATAAACTCCTCTCGATCCTCAATTTCGCATCTCACCAAATCCAAAACCTTAACCGCCAATTCAAAACATTCAATATCACCACAACTCCCCTCCTCTCCAAGAACATCGAGAAGCACGGGGACAAGGCCGTGAATCGTGCGGAGAAACTCGACGTTCTGCTCCAATGGTGGTGCAAAACAGAGTAGATTGGAAAGAGAAACAGAAACAGAGCAAGATGGGTGAGCGTGGTTTCGAATCGGAGCTGCATTCGTCCCCAAATGATGATCATGGAGGGGAAATTGGAAATGGAAGGTGTGGGACCAAATCTGAATGAGGCGCTTGAGATTGCAATTGGGAACGAAATCCTTGGAGAGAAGGAGCTGCATAGTAGCCGGACAGGTATTGTTGCCGGAGTCGAGCCAGCGCTGGATGCTGGAGCGGTCGTAGGTGACGCCGGTGGCCAAACTGACGGGAGATTTCATGAGGTCGAGAGAAATTGGGCAACGGAAGTGAGTGGGAACAGTGATGAAGAGATTGTTTTGCTTGACCATGGTGAATAACAGAGTAAAGTGAAGAAGAAGAAGAAGGGAGATGGATGACAGCAGAGGAACAATGCTTTAAAGGCACACAAACACCCCTACTCAACTAGAGTATTCTTTGTTTATAAACACATGATCATTTTTTAAATTAGGAAAAGAAAAACTTTTTTAATTAAATTAGATTAATTAGGGGACGCCTAACTTTCTTAATTAAATTAAATTATGTTAATTAGGGGACGCCTAACTTTCTTAATTAAATTAAATTATGTTAATTAGGGGACGCCTAACTTTCTTAATTAAATTAAATTATGTTAATTAGGGGACGTGGGACTTTCTTAATTAAATTAAATTATGTTAATTAGGGGACGTGGGACTTTCTTAATTAAATTACGCGGAATTTCTTAATTAAATTAGGGGGAGACTTTCTTCATTAGATTTCTTAAATTTTTTATTTCAATTTTATTGTTTTATGACATTACGGGAATCAAGCGTAAGGTTTAAATTGGAATATATGTTTCTTTCTTTTTGTATTATTTTAAATTTGAAATTCTAAAAGTAGGGTAGAACGGAATAAAAAAATATGATATTGGGAAAAGTTTGGGTATAGAATGAATCCCGTAAGACCCAGAGGATTCGCTGATCACAGCCGTTGGATATGAATTAGAGATCTTTTTCTTTGAATGGACGGCTGTGATTGGAGTACACGTGGAGATCGAGGGTGGGAATGGGATTTAATGCGAGGGAACCTTGGGGCTTACCTCATGGGGAATGGGTTGCAGGACCCCACCTTTAAGGATTCGAATCACCTGATTTGAGTCGTCGGATGCATCACATCTGACGGTGGAGAATAAATCAGAAAAGTCAGAATTAACTTTATTTTATTTTTATTTATTTTTTCCATTTATAGTGCTACGCAAGTTGGATTCTTTAAATTTAGTAAACCAAAAGGAAAAGTTTTATTCTATAAATTATAATTTATAATTTTTTTTTTTTTATTCCCATGACTTATACCATACTTCCCTTTTTTATTTTTTAAATTCATAATTTTATATTTTTAGAGTATTCGAGTTAAGGAAATTTGTGTTCGGGTCAACAATTGTTTAGTCCGGGTATTTTAATTTGAGTTTTTTTAGTCACAAAATTTTCCTTCGACACTACCACGCTCAATATCTATAGCGATTTATAAGATATTATTGTCGTTCATCTTTCCTTTGTATACATTTTCATTTGAAGCAACCTACTCACTCGTATACGTGGGCGTCCGTACTATCGTGAAGGGTAAGAGGTATCCCCCAATGCATGAGCACACAATAATGCATGAGGTTCTAACATTCTTCCATTTTCTTTATCATTTAATACAACCCCACTAGCGTTCCATACATATCATTTCATTTTTTTTTTGTATCATTTCACATATCTTTTATCATATCTTTCATGCATACGCCTTAATTGTATTTCATGCTAGTTCGTCATTTTGCATGTCAATCACATCATATCATTCAAATTACATAAATGTATCATATTTTACTTACTGGAATGATCTCTTCCGACCACAATACTTCTTTTTATGAGTGAAATTTTGTAATGTCAAGGGAAAACTGATGAAGAAATTGATATAAGTATACTTCGATTGGCTCAAACTTTTTGGAGAGTGAACTCTTACGATGTGGGAGAAGCTTTTACGACAAAAGAGAAATTGAAGCGAGAAATGGGAGTGATCGGAGTGGAGAGAGAGATTTTAGAGGGGTGGTATGTGGGAGTACGACCCTTGGGATTTTTTTTTCTTTTCTTTTCCTATTGTTACAAAAATGATATAAAAAAAACGTCAACGGAATCAACTGAAACCAAACTGAATCCGATCATAGATTTTTTCCCTTTACAACTTGACTATAGCATCAAGTCTTGTATAGTCAGTAGCCTCCTCCAGCCTGCCTTGTGAGCATAGAGTAAACTAAGAGTGATGAGATATCTGAAGCAAAATTGAATTTGAACTCGCTTCTTCCTCTTCTTGACTTCGTTATTTTCAGTGTTTACGTTAACATATCTTTAGGTGCCGATACGCTTGATATTCCAATAAAAATAGGGTGAGAAAGTAAGATACTCAAATTAATTTCAAATATTGGGATGAAAGCTATGAAATTATTTAACGAGTAGTGGAGATTACCTAAACTCACTCCTTTTTCAAATCTAATTTTAAATGTTCATTAAATTGTATTGCATGGATTTGGATGACTCTTTATCAACAACTTTGTTCATTTTATAATTTATAACTCCCACTTTGTTCGACTATTTTTTGGGATTTTGGAGCCAAAAGCAAGGGAAAAAGTAAGCTTGAAGAGGCACACTACATTCTGGTAAGTAGCCACACGAACTTTAAACAAGTAATACTTGTAAGGATCGCTAAGACGTGCTAATGTATCATACCTTAGATGGCTAGAATATGCATAATAAGGACTCTAGAAAAGCTATTTGGATGAATATACTATATATGTTATGGATAATTATTGAAATATCCTTCGGATTAGAATTTAAGCTACATTCCTACTTTAATGTTTTTCATGTATGACATGAGGATGGGATATTGTAATATGTGTTCTCGGCTATTAATGAATTTATCTTTCCATGGAGATTGCTTGAATGTTTAGATATGACATTTGTGCTTATGGTGAATGATAGCAATATCTCTCTAATAAGTTACATGAATGATTAGAACATGTTCTCCATGCTTTAAGTGATTGATAGAAATATCTCCTTAGTAGAGCATGGATGAATCAAGTTAAGTATAGGGCGCTAGAGCTAGAGTAGTTTTCGAGTTGATCTAGATTAATACGTTGCCAGTAGACCGAGCTCTATAGAATTGTGAGCGACGATTAGAGGTATAGATATGAGGGTACCCAGAGGTTGGGTTAGCCCCGATGTGTTAGTCCCTAATGTCCTAGAAACAAGAGACAAGATTAGACTGCCTAGACGAATCAAGGTTGATGTCGTGATTCTGTAAAATGGTGCTGAAGAGGGACTTGAGATCACATGGGGGTAGCTAAATCTTCTATTGTGTGTAGAAACGAGTTAGGGATGATGCCCGATTTTGTAAACTAATCTTGAAGAGGGATTTTGGGCTACATGGGTAGTTATTGTAAGGTTAGTATTTCTATTGTATATAGAAACGGTTCAAGGTTGATGTCACGATTCCACAAATAGGTCTCAAAGAGAGATTTGAGACTAAACAGGAGGATGCTAGGGTGAGTACTTCTATTACATGTAGAAATGAATCATAGATTGAGAGTGTGATTTCATAAACCAGTTATGGCGAGGGATTTGAGACCACACAAATAATTGACACTTGAAGATTGTTCCTAAAACTCCAAGACATACATTAAAGCTTAGATAGCGTAGATTTGGAAGATATAGTTGGGGGGCATGTATGGTTAGAGGCTCGAGTGGTAGTCCATAATTTGGGTTTAAAACGAGCATGTGGGGTCTTAGATGAAACTTTTTCTTATTTAATTTTTGTTAAATTTATATAAATAAATAAAAATGTATTGGTAAAGAGAGAATAAAGAATAATTGAAATTATGAGAATAAAGATGGGTGCCTTGTTCTTGTTCCCCGTATGTGTTTCCGACCCAAATTCACTACCTTCATCTCTAAACTTTAAAAATTGTTTAGTTCAGTTCGCTCTATTTTTTATTCTTTTTAATATTAAATAGGATCGTGTTTTCTTTTCTTTCTCATTAATAATAAATTCAATTATGTTTAAAAAAAATTAAAAATCATTAATTATTATTTTTTAATTAAAAAAATGAGTTGGTACAAAAAGTCCATACCTAACATATAATATTATTAATAATAAGAAAAAAAAAAGTGGTAAAAAAGGGGGTCAAAATTGGTGGTTGTGTTGCCACAAAAAAGGCTTTCTCCAAAGACAAACTTTAACATCTCAACTTTCCATATTCAATACTTATCTATTTATTTATTTATTTTTTTTAATGGTAAGAATCTAGAAACATAAATTTAAAAATTCATAAAATAAATAAAATTTTAAAATTTCATGAAATTGTGATAATTATTTTTTTTATCTTATATATAACTCGTGTTTATTTGTGGGGATAGTCGTCACTCTCGTAAACAGTTTAGGGCTAGTATGGTGACATGATCGTATTATTGGAGATAGAGAATAGTGCTGAAGCCATCTAGTACCAAATTCAGATTCCAAATATTAATAATATTACATCAATCCTTCCCTAATTCATAATAACTTAATAAATAATTTTAAGGGGTTAGAAAATAAATAATTATAAAATTAAATATAATAAATAAATAATATAACTCTGTAATCCTGAAAAAGGTAAATATTAGATCCAGAATCAAGTGGGCCCTAAACTAACTGGGCCTAAGGCCCAAACAACATCGAACCCCATAAACCCCCTCCATTGACTTCTGAATGACCTTGGTCGTTGAACGGACTCTTGTCCACCGTCCAATATAAATAAATAAATAAATTTATATGAACCAGTTTACCTCTAATAAATTTTATTAATTTTAATTTCTATTGCCATAAATTCAATATTTTTTTAAAGAATTAAATAGCACAAGATATAAAACTTAAACCTTATTAAATGCAAAATCATAAATTTGGCATTTAATTTAAATGTGTATAACAAAGATAATAACTACAGTAAATAATAGAAAATACTATGTTTTAATGATATTTGCAAGCTCTTCTATCCAACTACAAAATGAAATTTAATGCATGCTACTCTCCTATCGTGACATCTATGACATTTACAGTATTCACCGTCATTCGTGTACAGACACTTTACCTTTACCTAAAAAATATAAAAATAACACGTGACTTGAATTTTTTAAGAAATATTCACTAAGCCATCCTGCTGAGATGCAATCACACCAATAACATGATTGAGACCTATCCCTTAAAATCATAATATGACCTTAGACTCTTTATGATTTTGGACAAGGTTGGACGTGTGATACTTCCCTACACACCGTCCACGCGCACGCACATGGACCCACCAGGCAGACTCATATACGTACCCCTAGCCTGGCTTAGTTGGACACAACGCGTTAAACGTGGTCGACTGCCACAAAAAAGGAAAACCTCGTATGATATTATGGTGAACATAAATATCGAAGTTATGCATCCTTACTAGCATAACAAGGAAGTATTCCGATGCACATGACATACAAACATGAGGTCCTTGTGATTTACATTCATAGCATAACGTTACATCATTCCGTTTCTCCTTTCATCCATGACATGTTACATATATATATATATATATATATATATATATATATATATCATGTATACATGGTAGTCGATCACATAATTTTTACAAGGCAGAACATAACATGACATACCTAACATTTCATTTCATTCCTAACATGGCGTAATCATTTGTCAATACATAGAAAACATAAGCATAGCATAAAATAATATGGTGCAAGCAGAGGCCACAAGACATGCACTATCATATATCGTTCAATTATCTAACTCCAACAGTAAGGTCACTTACATGGTTGGTTTCGACCGAAGTTAATAATTACTCTATACTTGCTTCAAAAACTATACTTCAACGTTTAATTTCCCCTATGTCAATCCATATCACATACTTTAGGACAAATCCATATCTTAGTCTAGCTAAACATAATGATTATTCGAACATAACAACTAAAACTACCTCAAATTGAGTAAACATAGTCGTACTGATCTCAACTCATTATTGTTACATTATATCCTAATAAAAAGGACTTTGGTCCTCCGATGGGGGTGCATTGTCGATACTTATGTTCGTAGGCGAATGAGGTAACAATAAATAATTCAATCAACCTTAATCACATTAAATCAACTTAAAATATTGATTGAACCATTATGATAGTGTACATAAATTGATAAAAGATTCACTTAATAGTGTCCACAACTAAATAAAAATAAGAATTAATATTGAAAAAGACATAAATTCCATTTAAATAAATTAAAAATGATGTAATGGGATTAATGGGATTTTCATCGTTAGCGTATTTATTTGGTTAAAATTTGGAGAAAAAAAAAGAAAAAAAAAATTTTAAATGAATTTATTTATAATAATACATGTGGAAATGTCAAGAATGGTAGACTAAAAAAACCAACAAAAAAACCTGATTCATATGGTTGCAAATCACAACCACTCATCCTTCCATCCCATCGCCTATTAAAATAGATACAACTTTTTAAATGTATGGACAAATTCTACATTTTTGTGTGTTTTTTCCTCTTTTAAATTGTTTTAATTTAGCACATAACTTTCCTAAAATATGCCTATAATATTAAAAAATAAATAAATAAAAAATGTCTTATATATTCACTAGGATTATCGGGTAATTATTATTGAATTTCATGTGGTACAAATTAGAATTACCTACTTTACAAGAAGAAAAAGGAAAAACCCAAGTTTTCTGTTTGATGGGCAATGGCAATGTTGATTGAAATTTGAGAGAGAGAGAGAGAGAGAGAGAGAGAGAGAGAGAGAGAGAACTTAGCTAAAAGTCAAAGAGATGGTTGAAGATATTTGGTGAAGAAATTGGGGAGACCAGGGGAGCTGGGAACAGAGCCGAAGGGCTTGGCCAATGGGGGCTCAGCTCGTGAATCAACGAATATGTAAAGCTTTGAGGCTCAATTACCGGCGAGAAGAATCCTGACGAAATCGGAGCCAGACTCGCCGGCGCGGGAGATAAAATTCCGGGGGTTTGCCCTAATTCCACGGGAACCTCCGTCAAATCCATCATGTCGCTAACGTCGATTTCCCTTTCGGATCGGGGGCTGGCTTTTTCGATTGTGGCGAATCTCGCAGCCGGGGAGAGGTCTCCGTCGGCGGAGGAAGAGGCGGAGGATAGGCCGGTGAGGCGCTGCACGACGGACATGAAGTTGTTCTCGGCGACGTGGAGGACTTTGGGGGAGATGTCGTAGATGATGAGTGGCTGAGGCCATTGGGAGGCGGCTGGAGGGAGAGGAGGGCGGCCAGAAGGGGGAATCGGCTGAGGGTGCGGCGGCGGCTTCTTGATTTTGCGGGATTCTTGGTTGACACGGAGTTGAGGCGGGCGGGGGCCCTGCAGCTGGATCTCCTTCTTCCTTGGGGTGTTGGGACTGCCGCCGGCGGAGGAGCCGGGCGGGTTCATGACGGATCTGGCGGAGGAGGATCGGAATCTGATCGGAGATTTGGGATCGGGGGAAAGGGGCGGAGAATCGGGGATTTGGGTTAATTTTGGGGTGGTTTTTTGTTTGTAATAATTGGAGAGTTGATAAATATGGTTGGAGGAATTAAATATAAATTTTATTTATTTATTTATTTATTTATTTTTGTGACAAAAGTATTGTTTGTTTGACTTTCTAATTGTTGACTTCATAACTGGGAAGAAGGGAACTGTGGAAGGTGGAAACTCCCTTCATTTTTATTTTAATAACTCTGGTTTTAATATTGTTTTTTTATTTTCATTTTTATTTTTATTTTTCGAATCTTACATTTCTAATTCTCTAAATAAATGTTCCACTAAAAATATTTCTTATTTTAATCTTTTATAATATTTTTTTATTATATTAAAAAATTAGTTTCGGCATAATAATTTGTCTGAACATTCAATTTGGTATATAAAAAATAAATTTTAAAAATAATATTTAATAGATAAAAAATCTGTTAACATGAAATTAAAGTATATAAATCCAAATAAATAAATAAATAAATTTAAAGCCTAAAGAAGGCGAACAAATCTTAGACCTCAAGGGAGTTTGTGGCAACCAAGAGAAATGCTCAGAACTTTGAGACCTCCTTAGAACCTAAGCCCAAACTTCCTAAAACTTAGAGAAAAGCTCGTGGTAACTTATTAAGTCAAGGATGTGATTAGAGCCTACAAGTAGGTTGTTTACTGAGTATGCTTATACTCACTAGATTCTACTTTTCTTTTTCAAGTGACAAATGACCGCTAGTCAAGATTGAGGAGTGTTTGAGAGTTGTGCAGTCATAGAAGAGGGTCGTCTCGAGACGTTAGTCCTAAGTAGAGGGGGTGTGGTTCTTTACGTTTTGTATCTCGTCCTTGGATCCCATTTTGTAATAAATTTTGAAACAACATTTGGTTTATAATTTTTTTAATGCAATATTGTTTGGGTTTAAATTGCACAAAAAATTATTAGGTCGCCATGTTGTGAGAAAATTATGACCTAAAACCTCCTAATAAATAATTTAATTTTTAGTAATAATTTTGATTATTTTATTTATAATTTAATTTTATCAATGGTATAAAAAATCAAAAGTTATTAGTGTAGTTTTAAATAATAGGTATGTAATATACAATAGAATAAAAATTATGTTTCAGTAAAGTTTCATAATTAATTTTTTACTTTGTAATAATAATTTGATTATTTTATTTATAATTTAATATTATTCATGATAAGAAAATTTTAATATTATTAATGTAATTTTGATCATGTTCCAGTTTATAGTATATGGTTAGTTATTTCATTTGCAATTTAATGTTATCCTTTATAAACAAAAAAATAAAAAAATAACTTATTAATGTAATTTTGACCTGCATGTAATTGACACATAGGAGGATCATTTTTAAGTAATAACCTCAAGAGTTTATAGTATATGGATGAGGTTGAATGTTTTATCCTAGTAACACTATTTAACTCACGGTGTAGTTGTTATAAATTATTTGATCAAAATCGTTTATGTGGAGACATGTGAGTAAGGTTCTTATATACGAGTTTATATAAGATTGAACCATGAACTATTTAATATCTCTTTATAGATTCGTTAATTAAGAAGACTAACATTTCACGGAATGATCATATGCGACTCTATCTTAACCTAAGTTAGTTATGACTCATGTTTATGAGAGTCTGTCCTTAATAATTACTTTTTTAGCTAATTCAATATGTCTACTATTTTGGAGACTTAACAAATAAGGAGTTGGGAACATAATTTTACAAGATAGAATTTATTCTTTCCCATATAAAGTGTTCAAACGTTGAACCGGAACCTAATGAGTAAACAAATTTGTTTACCTGTTGGATGATATGAATGACTTAAAAAGATAAAAATTGTAAGCGTTGTTAGGAGTAAAATTGGGTGGAGGGTCCAGAAGATGATGGGCGGTGTTGGTGAAGTTTGGAGTTTGTGTTGTGACAATGAATTGAGAATTGATAGGGTATGCGCATGGAGATGGTGCAAATAAGATTGATTCATGATTTCATTATAAATAAAGCATAATTTAAGATGCCCCCAAAATTGAACATCCAAAGCAAAGAATATCAGGAAGTTTAAAGCGCCTGGATTCTGGTTTGCTCCTCTGCTTCAGTTTGGCATCAAATTCCGTGCGCCACAACGATTTCATTACCTAATCCAATCCCAATCTTCCACCTCACTGCAACGCCATTTTCATCGTCCTCATGACTCCGGCTTTGTCCTCCTCCTCCTCCTCCGCCGCCGCCTCCCAGCGGCTTATCCGCTGCACTGCTTCGCTGTGGCGAACTCACGCGCCCCACCGCTCTCCCTCGATGTCTCCTCCGCCGAGGAAGCTGAAACTAATGGCGGAGATAATGGTCAAGGCTAAGTATGCGGTTCTCGAACGGGACGATTACGACGACGTCAGGTGTGAGAAATGTCTCTCCGGCGACCGGGACGATGAGCTGCTGTTGTGTGACAAATGCGACAAGGGATTTCATATGAAATGTGTGAGTCCGATCGTTGCTAGGGTCCCGATTGGATCCTGGCTTTGCCCCAAATGCTGTGGCCAAAAAAGAGTAAGAAGTAAGAATATTCTCGAACTTGTTGATTCTTGATTCTTGATTTGTTTTTTTTTTGTCAACTTCGTAAGGTGTATAATCTTTGGACTGTCAACGTGTTCGAATTCCATTCTTCATTTTTTTTAAAATTTTGCTTGTAGGTTTTTCTCAGAAGAAGATTATCGATTTTTTCCGAATTCAGAAATGTAAAGACGCAGAATCTCTATATCTATCCGCTCAAGGTAAATTCTTGATTACAGTGTTCAAAATTCATATGATCTTATGTTTGTTTTATAATCTTGATCACGATCGTGCTCCTGATATTCAATAATATGGGATAGTTATGATATACTTTCTATATATCTGCTCAAATTGTTATTCCTTTCGTAGACATTTCCCTTTACAGTCAATTTTAATTGTTTAAAAGCTAGAATATGGTTCTTGAAGCGACATCCCAGATGAATTCCAGAGAAGAAGATCATCTCATATTCTTCCTTATACTTAATTGAATATGCCGAGATTAAGTCATAGAAATTCTTTAAACAACAAGGAGTTCACCTGATTCTTGTGGTTACTTTAAGTTTAGCTGCTTATGAAGGAGACATACTAAATGTTTATGCTTTATATAACACATGCTGTAAGACCATTAGATGTTCAAATATAAATCTTCTAAGTACTCTGCTGAAATTTTTCTACACCATAGGTGTTCCTGAACTGTTCATTTCATGTTGGTCGGTTTTCTTTTAATATTCCTTTTGTTGTACCTTTAATGCCACAATAAAAAATGTTATGATACCACTTGTTGTAGCGTTGGAAGCCACAAATAAAAAGCTTTGATTTGCAATTATGTGAAGTTATTGTCATTTTGTATTTACTTAGAGACAATTGGGAGGAACTTTGTTGAGAGACTTTGTAGTGCGAGAGAGTGTGAGAGATAACTTGTAAACACTTTGGTTATAGTGATTGGCTACATGGATGTAGGGGAATTTCTTCTTTCCGAACTACGTAAATCTTTGTGTCTCTTTGTTTAATATATATTGATGGGTGTGTGAGTGCAATCGATCTTACGTCCGCTTCCGTTACAACAATTGGTATCCGAGAATTTTGTGGCACTTAGGGTAAAACACCTTTCATTTAGACTTATTCATGGTTTCATTGTTTTTAATATTATACAAATGGTATCGTGAACTGAAGCTATAAAGCATAGGAGACGACTACGGTCATTGGTGTGGCAGAAGAAAAGGAGAAGATTACTATCATTTCTTCCAAGTGAAGATCCTGATCGCAGATTGAAACAGATGGGTTCACTTGCTGCAGCTTTAACAACATTGCAAATGGAGTTCAGTGATGATCTGACATATTTGCCGGGCATGGCTTCAAGATCTGCTAACCAGGCAGAGCTTGAAGATGGTGGAATGCAGGTTTAAATACTCATCTGTTGTTATTGACTGAGCTAAGAGTGGAATGGTCATAAATTATGACATCTATCTGCCTTCTGTTGTAGGTTCTTTCCAAAGAGGATATTGAGACTTTTGAACTCTGCAGAACCATGAGCAGAAGAGGCGAATGTGCTCCCCTTTTGGTAGTTTTTGATTCCTGTGAAGGGTAACTTTATTTTGAGCTTCTTAATCATATTCCCATATGATTCTAACCTCTCTACTGAGTAGGTCCATGCTCAATCTATGATGTAGTTTTACTGTACAAGCCGATGATCAAATTAAGGATATGACTTTTATTGCTGAATATACTGGTGATGTCGATTATCTTACAAACCGCGAACACGATGATTGTGATAGTATGATGACCCTTCTTTCAGCCAAACATCCATCTAGAAGTCTTGTCATCTGCCCTGACACACATGGAAACATTGCTCGCTTCATCAATGGAATAAATAATCATACTCCGTAAGTTGAACAAGGCTACCACATTGTCTTTTATACGTTTATATACTCGTGTTCATTCATATCAGCCTTCATGTCTGTGGAGATAGAGACTGAGTTATGCACATATTGATATCTTCTTTTAGTTTATGTAATATTTGAGAGAATGAAATTGTTGATATTCCATTTTTGTGCAGAGAAGGTAAGAAGAAACAGAACTGTAAATGTGTGAGATACAATGTTAAGGGCGAATGCCGTGTGATTTTGGTTGCGATTCGGGATATTGCTAAAGGGGAGAGGCTTTATTATGACTACAACGGATATGAGTATGAATACCCCACCCATCATTTTCTCTGAGAATTTCTTAGGATAAGTCTAACAACTTTGGGATCTGATTTGTGTGTCCCATACAGTTTTTTCACCATTTTTCCTTCTTCTTCTGCTGAATCTTGTTGCAAAGTCAACAGTTTTTGCTGATTCTACCAAAGTAATTTGTATTGCATACCCTCGGCCGAGGTCGAGGCTCGGACCAACCAGGCCAGGGAGGGGGTGGGGGAAGTTTTGGTAGTGAAGGATGAAGTTGTGTTAGGTATATTACTGTAATACAATTGTGAGATAAAAGTGCTTTCATTTCTTGTGAAAAGTGATTGCTTGTTATTCCGATGCTACTTTTCTCCCATTTAAGTTTCTTTTATCCCTTGCGTGATGTTTCTTTATTCTTTGCCGTTCATCCTTCCAATATTCTGCCATGTACTGTGAGTAAAAAATAAACCTGTCAAAATCAATGAAATAGGGAAAAAAAAAAACATTTGATAGTATACTTTTTTGTTATGAATTCATGCATGCTCTTGTTGTAGATATTGGTTTAGTAAACTTTGAGCCGACTTTTTACTCGAAATCTTCCTTATTAGGATCTCGTTCGTTTGTTGCGAAATGATATACGAAACCAACAAGTTGGAAGAATATATAAGTGAAGATTGAAAACCATTAAGTTCGAAATGGTTGTCTTGTTCGTATGGTATGTTTGAGCCTGGTCTTGGAAGGAGACTATTATTACATCGCTAAAGAGAGTTCAGACGAGAGGCGAAAGAGTTGCACCAAAGAAACAACAAAGGGAGTTCCCTTTGTTTGAAGAAACCTTCATTCAAAATGGGGGACCAAAGGCTTGCGCCTAAGAAAAAACATCTTTTGGCCTTGTTGGTTATGAAGCTTCTAAATGTTTCATTTTCACCCCTTATCCCTCGATTAATTCTCTTTTGGGATTTTATTTTAGCTGAAATTACATATTTACCACAATATTTTGTTTCAACATTATCATGAATGAGCAAGCCCAATTGAAAGAAGTACAGGCCTTAATCTAATGGGCTTAATAAATGTTTTAAGGCCCACCCTCCAAGCAAGGCTTTTAAGCCCAATTCATGGACTTGGTTCATTAGGTTGAATTTTGGTGGATTGAGCACTTTGATGAAGTTGAATTACCACAAACATTAAGGTGACAATAGATGTGAGATAAAAGATAAAGTTACAAGTTCAAAAGCATCGTGGAGAGCAACAAAGTCCATTTAACCACCTAGTGTTCGGAGAACCCATGAACCATCTAATCCAACTCATCTTAAACAGGTTTATAACTCCATCCAAACCATACAGGTGGAGGTGGGGTTGGATTGATCAAATTTTTCAAGTCATCAAATTTTTTGAACAATCATAAACCAAACCTGTGCTCGAGAAAAACACGTATATATTTGATGGAAAGAAGGAAAATAATATGGAGGTTATGATGTATGTGGGTTTTAGCCATGTGAGGGGCACAGAGCGAAGGAGATGACACCAAAACCAAACAAAACACATATCCAAAGCAAAAGGTGTAGCACATTGGATGTAAGTTTACAGGATGTGGGTATACCTTCAATCTTCTTCTTGTCACTTTCAAGCACTGTCTTGTAATCAAACAAAAGATAAGTATAATATAGCACATCACCTGTTCTTTTCACACCCACCCACCGCCATTACCCAACCATCCCATTAAAACCATTCTATTCCCTCACCTCTTAACCAAAACAAAAAAGAGAGACATGGGAAGTCTTGAGGAGGAAAGATTAGTTCAAATGATTGATGATTTCATGGAATCACCTGAACCTCCAACCTCTCCTTCTTCTTCTTCTTCTTCTTCAAATCCTCTCCCTCTTACCTCCAACACCCATTATTTTTTCACTTTAAAGGTACTAATTCCTTTCATTTTACAATACCCATTACACAAAAACCCTTCAATTCTATGCTTTCATTCAATTCATGTGTATATAGGAGATTCTTGGGAACAGTGGAAGAACAGCTGAGATTGAAGTGAGTGAGGCTGTGATGAAGCACATGAGAAGGAAAACAGATGCTCCCAAAACCACCCGCCTTAAGAAATGGCTTGTCATGAAGCTCAAAATGGACGGCTATCATTCTTGTGACCTTTGTCACACCTCCTGGGTCACTTCCATGGGATGCCCACCCGGTAAGATTATCAAAACTTTTTCTTAACCGACGTGTTTTAAAATCTAATATCTAATGGTGGTAGGCTTGAACCGTTACAAATAACATATTTAATTTATAACAGGAGATTACGAGTACATAGAGATGAAAGTGGAGGGTGGGAAAAGGATGATAATAGACATAGATTTCAAGGCGCAATTTGAAGTGGCAAGAGCAACAGAGAGTTACAAGCAGCTGACACAAGCACTGCCATCGGTGTTCGTTGGGAGTGAAGAGAAGGTTGTGCAAATAATATCAATTCTATGCTCAGCAGCCAAGCAGTCCCTCAAGGAGAGTGGCCTCCATATTCCCCCTTGGAGAACTTCCACTTACATGCAGCGCAAATGGGTGGCCGCTTCCCAACAAAGGCCCAAGGCAGCGCCGTTGGTGAAGGCAATTGGGAAGAGGGTTTGGGGCGGTGGCTCTGCCTTGTCCACTCAATTTTCCAATATGAGTATCAATTGTTGTTGATCATTATTACTTTAGTTCAATTTTGACCCAATCTTTTGATCATGTGCTCTAGAATGGACACCTGTTTGCCCCTTATGAATTTAATGAAAAAGTCGAGTTTGGTAGGAATTGGTAACTGGGTAAGAATGAACAACCAAAGATAGATATGTATATGTGCATGACTCACCATCTCTATGTCTATCTTTGACAAGTTCTAATGATTACAAAATTAAGAACTCTTAGACATTTTTTTCATCTAAAAACGATAGATTAGTAATCATCATGATTATAGAACTATAATAGAACTTTAATTTATATGTTAAATTCTTGGAGAGTCAAAAATTGGAATGCATTCCAATTCTTATATGTGGTTGAGCTTTAAACACAAAAAAATGAGGAAAATAATAGAAAATCAATGTTTTAAAGATCTAAAGAAAGGACATTCTTGTAATATTTTTTTGTTTTTAATTTTCACCATTCCTTTTCTTTTCCTCCATGTTTTAAGTCGGGTAGAATCAACGAGGAAGCATTCTTTAATGTAATCATCACGAAAAATAATAATAATAATAATAATAATTAAACAAAAGAAAGGGAGATAATCTCCCTCAATCCACGATTCAAAAATCTCTCTCATCGTTCATAGCTTAAAGATGACGGTAACGACTTAAAGTAGCAAAAAAATCTAGGATCGTTACCAAGGTAGAAAGGTGTTCGAGAGCTATGTTGTCATAGAAAGGATGTCTAACCTAAAATATCAGTTTAGTTTGTATTTTATGAGTTGTGATTTGTATTCATTTGTACATATAATAAATATATAACATCGAAACAAGATTAAAATTATTTATACAAGAGACTTCTAAACATCATTAGAACAAGAAACAATTGTTTAAAGGTAAATTGAAAGAAAGTTGTAAGAAATATTATTGTTTTTTTTAGAGGAATATGAGTTATTATCCAAAGTGAAGTGGGCCCAAAGAGGAGAAAATAAAAAAAAGAGAATTGTAAGGGTAAAACAAGAGGCACTCATCTAAAACCAGTGGCCCTAACAAAACAATGGGAAACACAAGGTTTTGATATCCATTTCATACCCATCATAGTGCAAACTTTTCGAACACAAACATTGTACTTAGTATACAGTATGGAGAGAGTTACGTTATCAAATGACACACCAATCTACGCATTTTTATGTACTCTTCCTTATCTTCAACATTTCGTATCATTTTTTCTTAATATTCTCTCGAATCCACTAAAATTGCCGGACTTGTGATATAAACCAAGAGACATCAATCATACAATATACTTCAATGAAGATGTGAAGAAAATATTGTTGAAATTATCAAAAACATATTTCCATTCATGGCACATTAAAGAAAAATGAAGTTTCATGTTATAAATTTTTGGTGGATTACAGTAATTTAGAGTTATTATATTTCATTAATGTATTTTAAGACTTTTTATTTACTTTGGGTTACAATTACAGAATGGTTAATTATAGCCATTAAGTATGAATGTTACAACTCTCGTAATGCATTTAATAGTTTCATTTTGAGGCTATATAAAGCCATGTATGTTGTATTTGTAGGTAGACTTGGAAAATATAGTAAAAGAAGCATTTGTGCTCTTCTTTAGCCAATGAGTAAGTTTCTTTGCAATCCTATGTAGTTTAGATTGCATGTAGAATCATTCAAGCTCGACATGATCAATCTTGCTTGTGGAGTGATTCGAATCTCAATCAAGTGTTCTTGCCTTGAGATATTTGATCAACAAGAATCATTCAAGCTAGACATGATCGATCTTGCTTGTGGAGTGATTCGAATCTCAAACAATGTTCTTGCCTTGAGATATTCGATCAACAAGGTACTCCGAATCTTACTCCCCTTGTAGTGATTCCTTATCTTATCACCTTGTTTGGCCCAACAATCATACTTCCCTGTTTCAATTGGATCTCTCCTCCTCATTCATTTTGTAAGATGGGTCTTACAATCCAACTAAAAAAATAGTCCAAACAAAAGAAGAAAAAGGGTCCTAATGTCCAATGGTATAGGTTTTGCTCGCTAGCTGTGGGATTGAGTAATTAGCCACTAAAGTAGTCAAAAGAGATGATTCAAAATGAATTTTGTGGAAATTATATATTGTGTAATCAGATAATTAGCCACTCACGAAAATTTTATTGCAGTTCCGTAAGAATAATCAAAATGTTGGAGTTGGATATTATGAATGGTCCGTAATATTTAGGAATTGATCATTTGCATATGAACTAAGTGATCAATGTCTTTATGCTTTGGTTAGGGTCGAGCTAAATGATCATAATCCAGGGCATTGTGATTGAGTGACCCTTTTTTAAAAAAAAGAAATTACTCTACTTGTACTTGCTAGGTCATGACATGAAAGCGACTAGTAAAGTTATAGGGCATAATTAACGTAATTAATTGCATAATTAAAAATTTAGAAAATAAAGTAGGGGCAAATAAGTCCAAAAATAATCTATGAAACATGATTCCATTGGATATATGTGTAGAAAAAAATTCGGTCCTTTGTCATTGTCGTATGGGATATGATTATCATATCAAACCGTACATTTATTTTAGTCCTCACATCAATTACTTTCAAAACATTAGAATAAAGTCGTGTTCTCGTCACCCTAATCAATTTGAAATTCATTAAAATTCATAACTCCTACCCATATGTCCGTGAAGCGGGTTAGGGTTGGTCTAGCCCTATCTCTTTCCAATATTTCATTTGTTTCTGCAATAATAATCCCGCATCATTTAGGGATGACATAAATTGAATTGAAAAATAGAGAAGGAAAATATAATTGAATTGAAAGTTGAATTTTAGTCTAATAAGACAATTTAGCATCATTTGGGTCACGTGAAATTTGTGTTATAAAAATGATTTAAAGATAAAAACTATAGAGACCTCATGCATTTTGTGTGTACATAAACATCGGGTTACTTCTCCAATTATGATGAAGAGTACGGACGTGTACACTATGATGATGGTTATCATCACGTCTCGCATAACACTCAGGGGTTTGCTAACCTCCCAACGACACTATGGACAACTAGCTCGACTATGATGGGTCCATAAGGGTAAATTGCCCGAGTATCCACACTCACACGTGTGAGTCGTGTGTAGGGAAGTACTACACATCCAATTTTGTTCGGACTGGAAGCCACTCCTATAATGGTTTTAATCATAGGTCCCTGATTATGAGTTTCATGCGTTTACATTCCCAATAGTGGGATCACTTCATTAAAGACAAAACACCCATGTACTGCTGGCGATGACACCACAATTAAAGACCATGACACATGCATAAAATATTTCATTTTCCTAGACTTATGGTGTTTTTACTTTTAAATATTTTATTTGTTTTATTCGGTATTTCCCTACGTTGTGTTAAAGATGCTTTTGTGTTCCACCTAAGAACATACGTTATGACGACCGTAGCGACTTTAAGTTACTAAAAACCTAGGGACGTTATAGTAATTTTTATCGGAAACATTAAAACAATAATTGTGATATAATATAGATTAATTTTATAAAAAAAGAAATTAACAAAATGAGGAGTATAATAATAAGGTTTAGAAAAATTAAAATGGAATAATCACTATGCTTACAATAGAAAACTAAATTAAATGTAACAAATTAATTTATCATGAATATGGTAAATTAATTTAGAGTTCAATTGATAAGGATTTTATGTTTTTTATTCACTTATTTTATTTGATGTAACATGTAAATTAATATATTTATAAAGGTTTAAAGTATAAATTATTATTTTTTTTTTTTTACAAAAATAAGAATTAAAATAAACCAAATATTTCCAAGATCAAATCATTATTGAATAAAGTCTTATATGTCAATATAATAATTATAAAGTAATAAATTATGTCAAATTTAAAATTTCAAATATTCCTCTTTCCAGCACACTTTTCTTATTTGTCAAAAAAATAATAAATAAATAAAAACACGCACACTTTTTCTTCCCTTCAGAAAAAAAGAAAATTAGTGAAATATTTCAATTAAATATTTAAAAATTATTTCTTCATTTTCTTGTGGCTTTGCAAATTATTTAAATTTTTTACTTCCAAAATAATTATAATTATAATTTATTTAATTTATTAAAATTCTTTAAAATAATTATTTACCATTTTTTATGAATTTAATAATTATATTAAATAAAAATAGTAGGTTTAAAGGATAGATCCATTGCTTCACTTTTACATTTATGTTTTTTATTTAAAAATATATATATTTTTCCCTTAGGAATAAAAAAATTAAAAATTAAAATCTAATTATCTTACATTTTTCTAAAAAAATTAAATCTCCATATAAACTATAAAAATAAAAGGAAACACAAATTCGCTTATTGGGCAAATGATTGAACCTTAAAGATCCCACTTATTACCAAATCAACCACCCAACTTTTTTTTTTTAATTCTTTTTTTATGTATATATATATATATTTTTTTTAATTATTGTTGTTGTTGCTATTTCCCTGTCTCGGTCGGTGTTTTGCTTCTCTCAACCACCTTTCAATCTTCTTCTATTTCAATAATAAAACATCATACCGACATTTTCAATTCTCGAAGTTTCCCAAATCTTTCCATTTCCAATCTTTCTGCTAAGATCCTTCAACCATTTCTAAAGGTAATTTCTCTCTGCCTCTGCAACTTCCAACACACTCACCCCCTTCTGGATTTGCCTTTTCTTCCGATTCCATTCAACTTATCACAACAATTTATCCATTTCTTCATGTGGGGTTCCATTTTTTTTCACTTTTGAAGCTACCCATTTGCAATTTTGGCCCATTGCCTTTGTTCTGAGATAAATTATCACAGAATGATGATAGCTTTGTTCTGGGATTTTAGGGATTCGTGATTCTAGGACTTGACCAATGCTAGTTTAAGATAGTTGCTGAATCTTTAGCTGTTTGTTTCCTTGTTTATTTGCTAAACATTGGATGGCATTATGGTTGATAAGATGAGTAATTTGAGTAAAAACATGGGGTTCAATAAGAGTGTTTCGTTTGGAAGAAGGGCTTTAAGTTCCGGTAGCCCCAGGGTGAGTCGTGTGGGGTGGATCTCCCGTTGGTATCATGTGTT